TTTGGCGTACTCAATAACTAACTACAACTCTACTTCTTGAAAGTAAGTGGCCTTACAAACCATACATTTTATGGGCCTTCGAGAAAAGGGTATTTGTCTCTTTGTGGTAACGATCGATTCATCGGCCTCCCAGGAGCGGGTCTCACCGGTGAATTGAGAAGGCGTATATTATATCGCTCAGAGACAATTACACTCGTACTCTCACCACGATCATTTCCAAGACGGAGAAATTCGAAGCTGGTACTACTTATTGAGTTTCGGTCATCGAAAATTGGATACAAGGAGGCAGTGAAAAAAAATTGTTGAGCGCGTCTCGCCACGACTGTGTAAGTACAAGCAGTCTACGAGCTAACTTAACTAACTCACCTGTCGCCGCAAACTGCTGGACAATCCAAGAGATAATCTACTTCAACTTACTTATTGCCGTGAACTACGGGATAGTTACCAACTAATAACTACAACTTAATAATAACTATAACTTATCTGGTGTTGCCTATCGGGTCAACCCGAAAAGACTGTCACCGAGCGTCACCGTAAACTACGGGTCAGCTACTTCACTAACTTTACTACAAACTTAGTGTACGAAGAAAAACTACATCACAAAAATGTTGGATCTTCAACTACAATGCTTCAATAACATCAAATCTCTCTGCTCAAACTACAAGAAGGATGGAGCGAGTAGAAAAACTGAGGAGTACTTACTTAGTCGTATTCAATCCCTTGGAGATCACACAAATTTATTGTGCAAACTATTGAAGATAAAAACATCGACTATTTCACAGGGAATGTTTTTACTAAAAGTAAGGAGCGTTATGAAACTACTTTACAAAGTATGCAGCACTTACTGCTACAATTACGCAAAAGCAAGTCTGTGCATTTCGATCTCACCGGAATACTGGACAGCATCACTGACGCAAGCGTCAAAACGCTCTTAGAGCAGCAAGAATGCAACTTTAAAGCTCTCGATCGCGTCATGTCTAAAATCGACATTCAAGCTATAACTGAGAGATGGGAATTACAAGACAATCTATCAATTTTGAAGTCCAAGTGTGAAGTTATCGATAAACAGCATTGGGAGTTGGAAGCAAAACTCAAAGACTCCAATCTTCAATACTATAACTTGTTTATTACTATGGAGGGGAAATACGATGAGCTACGACGTCAGTTTAACATAAAAATTTGGTAAAATAATCACTATGAAAAATCTGCGCCGAAAATAGAAGTACCTGAATTCTCAAGCAGCTGCATCCAATGGATTTCTTTCAAAGATCTTTTTTTGGAGGCAATTCATAATAATCCTACGATCGACAAGGCACAAAAGATGGAACATCTGAAGACAACGTTGAGAGGAGAAGCAACTAGTACAACATCTCAGCATCGGCACTAAGCACTATGACTCATGCTGGGAGATACTCACCCAGCACTACGACAATCGGCGTCTTCAGTTTACATCTTTCGTCAACACCATGCTCAACTTGCCTGTAATACAACACCCTGACAACTACAACTTAAAAAAGATGCATGACGTCATAACTGAATGCCTGAACGGGCTCGCCAACATCGGTATCGAAACATCAACTTGGGACCCACTCATCGTCCATCTGATGTCACAAAAATTAGATCCTTCACGTACGCGGACTACATGAGAGAACAACAAGATCACAGAGAGCTACCCAACTTAAACGACTTTCTCTTCTTTCTTGAGAGCAAGTTTATGGCATACGAAACCATGAAAAATTTAAAGAAAGAAATACCTAACGTACAAAAACAAGGGCAACAAAACACAAGTGACTACAAGAACTTTTCCACTAAAAAACATTTCTACGAAAATAAAAAACCTTACAATAAAACTTATTTTACTACTTCAACTATTGGGCAATGTCCTAACTACAAAGGAGGTCACGTGTTGATGCAATTCCCCGACTTCATCGACATGAATGCTATACAACGCCATAATACAGTTGCGATATTACATGTATGCGAAAATTGCCTGTATAGCCACGGAAATGCTAAGTACACATCAACTAAAACTTGCAAAGAGAGAGACACCACACTATTGCACAACTATATAAAAAAATGCGCCTACAACTGTTGAAACTGCAAGCGGGCTGAGGAACAACAACATTTCTCACCCATCAACTTCAACTCAAGTTAACTGCAACCACTTAACTAACGACAACATCGAGATCCTACTTACTACCGTATAGCTGCACGTACTAACTGCCAACGGCAACTATGTCACACTTCGGGCCCTCCTCGATCAAGGCTCGCAAGTGAACCTGATAACGGAAGGCGCTGCCCAACTGCTTAAACTACCCAGAAAACGACTTACCGCAACGGTTTCTGGGGTCGGAACTGAATCGGGAGACTGTAAGGAAGCCTACAACTTACCTGCAAGTCTATCTACTCTAATTACTCGTTCGAGGTGCAAACACTGATCATGAGAAAACTTATAAATAAATTACCCAACTCAACATTCAAAGCGGATAACTGGCCTCACTTAAAAAACTTAAAACTGGCCGATCCGGAGTTCAACGTGTCACGACCCGTGGACCTGCTGCTCGGGGCCGACGTGTACTCCGACATTATACTGGATGGAGTCCTGAAAGGAGAAAAACAATCACCTATTGCTCAACAAACGCACTTAGGAAGGATACTCTGTGGCAAGTTGAAAACTTTCAACTGTTACGTCACCCTCGTCGATATCAACGAGATGACTAAATACTGGGAACATGAGGATATTACTCAGGACGACAAGGACATGCCCAAGGACAACCATTACAAGGAAACAGTGAAACGCGCACCAGATGGAAAATACATCGTTGAGATGCTATACGTACCTAACTACGAAGGAAAATTGGGAAAAACTAAGCCTATCGCCATCTCTCAGTACCTACAACTCGAGAAACGATTTCAAAGAAACAACAAACTCGCTACTATGTATTCCGATTTCATTCGAGAATACATCGACCTGGGACATATGAAACCGTCGTTGACGTCATCGTCATTAGAATAAGAATGTTACCTACCTCACCAGGGAGTACTGCGGGAACATTCAACTACGACTAAACTGAGGGTTGTTTTTAACGCCTCACAAAAAACTACAAGCGGCTACAGTCTCAACCAATTGCAAGAAAAGGGTCCCAATCTACAAAAGGATATACAAGCCCTCATATTAAAATGGAGATCCTACCGGTATACCTACACAGCATACATTGAAAAAATGTACCGCTGTATATGGATTACTGAAGATCAGCAAAAATTGCAAAATATAATATGACGCCACTCTCCAGCTGAGGAACTACAAACCTTCCAACTATGCACAATTACCTATGGGATGAAGTGTGCTCCCTGGTTAGCGATGCGTACCCTCAAACAACTCGCAACAGACCACGGCCACAAGCATCCCGAAGCGGCCCATATACTTCAAAATCAGTTCTACGTTGATGACCTTGTAAGTGGTCATAACCTGATCGATTCTGCTAAACAACTTCAAACATCACTTATCAACCTACTGCGCGGCGGCGGTATGAACTTACGCAAGTGGTCAGCGAATCACCCTGCGTTACTAGAAAACTTATCCGAGGATCAAACATGAAGAGCCTATGAAAACGCTCGGCCTTGGATGGATCCACAAAGTGACACTTTCACTTTCAGCTGGGACTTAAAGAAAAAACTGATACCTCAACCTATTAAAAGGCAACTATTGTCCGATATCTCTAAACTTTATGACCCACTGGGCTGGCTGTCGCCGATCACTGTTACAGCAAAACTTCTATTTCAACAAGTATGGGTGAACAAGCTACAATGGGACGAGACCTTACCAGCCGATATACTAAGCGACTGGATGAAACTGAGAGCTGAACTACCCCCGGTCAAAAACATCAAACTGAACAGATGGCTAGGGGGGAGCCAAGATAACATTCAACTATTAGGTTTCTGTGACGCAAGCGAGAAAGCCTACTCATGCGTCATATACAGCCGCATTACAAACGCGAGCGGCCCGCCAACTGTAACTTTACTTGCAGCAAAAACTAGGTTTGGGCCTTTGGCAGACAAAACCACTTTGCCACGGCTTGAGCTTTGCGGGGTATTAGCACAACTGGTTGAGAAAACTAAGGAAGCGTTCAGAGGGCACAACTTAATAGTCCAAGCATGGAGTGACTCGCAAGTGGTACTTGCGTGGCTGCAGGGAGACGTGTCACGCTGGGAAAGATACGTCCCGAACCGGGTGACAAAGATCAAACAAGCCATCCCCGCAGCAAACTGGGACTATATAAAATCGAAGCTCAACCCTACAGACTGCGCCTCCCGAGGTCTCTATCCGTCCAAGCTAATCAACTTCAACCTTTGGTGGAAAGGTCCTGATTTTCTAAGGAAATTTTACCAACAAGACATCCCAAGAAACTTAGCCTGCTACAACACTACTATCGCTGAAATTAAAAAGGTGGCGGAGACAACCCTAGCGAAAGAAGACAACAACTTAATAATTAAATTATTAAATAATTGCAGCTCATTGTTACGTGTGATAAGGGTTATCGCCTGGGTACGGCGCTTCGCGACAAACTTACGCAACAATGCGAAAGTGGACACCGATTGCCTCAGTGCAGCCGACCTCCGCGCGGCCAATGAAATTATAATAAAGTATGTGCAGCGGAATGAATTTGAAAACGAATACAAACTACTTCAAAAGAAACAAACAATTTCAAGCAAGGCCGCCATTTTCAAACTTAACCCTTATATGGATGAATTTACCGATTGATATGAAACATCCAATCATCTTATGTCGCAATGGGCGCTATACACAACTTCTTATAGAACAAGCGCATTTGACCACACTGCATGGAGTCGCCCGATTAAATTTATTATATATACGGCAGCGCTATTGGATTGTTGGCGGGAACCGGGTGACCACCCGGTTCCCGCCAACAATCCAATAGGACAAACTACGTCACTGCTTCAGGTGTCATCGCTACAAGCCGACTGAAAATTATCAACTTATGAGCGACTTGCCACAGCAGAGAACCACCCCGTCCCGACCGTTTACGCATACCGGAGTAGACTTCACTGGGCATGTGGAGATCAAACTTAACAAAGGGAGAGGAGGGGTCAAAACTTCGAAGGGCTATATAGCCATCTTCGTATGTATGGCAACAAAGGCCGTACATATCGAAATTGTATCGGACCTAAGCACCGAAACCTTTATAGCAGCATTTCAACGTATGTGCGCACGCCGCGGCACCCCCAAACATGTATACTCCGACTGCGGCACTAACTTCATTGGGACCGCGAAAGTGTTGCGCAGGGAGTTTGAAGAATTTAAGCAACTTCTATCACCAGAGTTCTTTAACGAGATCAGCAAACTAGAAGTGGATGGCACTTCAACGCCCCCGCGTGGCCAACTGCAAGTGGCCTCTGGGAGGCGGCTGTAAAATCACTCAAATACCACCTTCGCCGTGTTTTGGGAGATCAAAAGCTCACTTATGAAGAGTTTTCAACGCTGCTGGCCCAAATAGAAGCATGCATGAACTTGCGACCCTTGTGTCCTATTACCGAGGATCCCGAGGAATTCTACAACTATCTAACACCGGGCCACTTCCTCACCGGCGGACCAAATTTTTCAATCCCGCTCTCCGATTACAGTGACGTCAGAACTCTAGACTTGCGCCGTCGCTGGCAACTCACTGAAAACATGCTACAACAATTTTGGAAAATCTGGTCTAACGAATACTTAACTCAACTTCAAAGCCGCTGCAAGTGGAACAAGCCAAGAAAGAACATTGAAAGGGGAGATATTGTCCTTGTTCGGGAAACCAACTTGCCGCCGGGAAAATGGGCATTGGGTCGCATACAGGAAGTCTACCCGGGTTCCGACGGCTTAGTGCGCGTCACTACTGTAAAAACGCAAGCTGGTGTAATCAAGCGCCTCATAACTAAACTGTCACCGCTCCCACTGGTATATAAAAAATCCGAAAAGGAAAACGAGCAAGAACTAAAAATTAAACGAGAAAAAAGAAACGACATGGTCATCAAACTACAACATCGAGGGATGGCGTCACCCACGCGGCGAGTGACGCGTGCAGTGCCGCAGCAGGTACCCGCGCCGCAGCCGCACGCCGCGCCCTCTACTGCGACGACAGCGGCGGCGTACAACATCACATTCTACTTTGACAAATTTCCTTGAGGGTTAACTTTTGTTTCTTTGCTTTTCGGGTGGCCAATATGTATGGTTACACCACACATTTTTATTTTAGTAAACGCTGCAACCTACTATTAGCCGCGCGTCGCGTGCTTTTAAATTGACTTAATTAATTGCATTCTCACAATCGTCAGTACGTCAACAACCGTCCTTCTAAACACCAACTACTCAAGGAAAGATTTGCCACTCTAACTTTATAACTATTTTACTTTTATTAAACTTTAACTTTGGTGTTCTTTTCCTTTTGGCGTACTCAATAACTAACTACAACTTTACTTCTTGAAAGTGTGTGGCCTTACATACCATACAAATCATCATCATTTTCATCATCATTACAGCCCTTCACAAGTCCAATGCTGAACATAGGCCTCCCCCAAAGAATGCCACAAAGCACGGTCCTGAGCCACCTGCATCCATCGACTTCCTGCATGTCTTACCAGGTCGTCACTCCATCTCGTGGGGGGACGCCCTACACTTCGCCTACCGGTACGAGGCTGCCACTCGAGAACCTTTCTTCCCGATCGGTTGTCGGTTCTTCGAGCTATATGGCCGGCCCACTGCCACTTCAGCTTACTAATCCGTTGGGCAATGTCGGTTATTCTGGTTCTACTGCGGATATCCTCATTTCTAAGTTTACCACGCAGAGAAAGCCCGAGCATAGCCCTCGCCATAGCTCGTTGAGCGACCTTGAGCTTCCTCATACGGCCAGCAGTGAAGGACCACGTCTCAGTTCCGTAAGTCATCACTGGCAACACGCACTGGTTGTACAATTTCGTTTTAAGGTTTTGAGGTATGTCTGACGAGAAGATGTGTCGTAGCTTCCCGAACGCTGCCCTGCTGAGTTGAATCCGTCGATTGACCTCTCGGTCGAAGTTGGACTTACCTAGTCGGACTATTTGTCCCAGGTAAACATACCCGTCAACAACTTCGAGCTTAGTGCTCCCAACAACTACCGGCATAGGTGTGACATGGACATTAAACATGATCTTAGTTTTGTCCATGTTCATCTTAAGACCTATCCGTTGGGAAACACTATTGAGGTCATTGAGCATAGTGCTTAGGCCCTCCAGCGATTCTGCCATAAGGACTATATCGTCGGCAAATCGAAGGTGAATGATGTACTCGCCATTGATGTTGATACCGTATCCTTTCCAGTCCAGAAGCTTGAAAACGTCTTCAAATGCAGCGGTGAAGAGTTTCGGGGATATGACATCACCCTGTCTTACACCTCTCTGCAATTGGATAGGTTTCGTACTCTGGTTCTGTACTCGGATAGCCATCGTAGGCCTACTGTACAAGCACTTCAACACTTCGATATACCGACAGTCAACTTGGCACCGCTGAAGGGACTGCAGCACCGCCCAAATTTCGACGGAAACAAAGGCTTTCTCATAGTCCACATACGCCAGACATAGTGGCAAATTGTACTCCTCAGACTTCTGTACAACTTGCCGAAGGGTATGTATGTGGTCTATGGTGCTAAAGCCCTTTCGGAAACCGGCTTGTTCGGGAGGCTGGAAGTCCCAATCTACAAAAATATATTCAAGCACTCATCTTAAAATGGAGATCGTACAAAAATGAATACACCGCCGACATTGAGAAAATGTACCGCTTCATAGCAAGCACTCAAGGTCAACAAAGCTACAAAAAGTAATATGGCGTGAATCACCAATTGAAAAGCTCCGAGAGTATGAACTTTTCACCGTGATTTATGGGATGAAATGTGCACTATGGCTTGCAATGGGAACTTTCAAACAACTTGCAATGAACGATATTCACAAGTACCTAGAAGCGGCTCGCGTACTTCAAGATGAGTTTTACGTGGACGACCTTATGAACGTACACAACTTTATTCATGAAGCAATCGAACTTCAACAGTCACTAATTGAACTGTTAAAACTTGGCGGCAGGAACCTAAGGAAGTGGTCAGCAAACAACCCCGTTCTAGCGTAGCTGAACTATCGTAAGAAATTGTTTAACAGCCACCCACCACGTGGGCGCATTTGTGGGCCACACCTCCCGCCTAGACTAGGTTTTTCTTCACAACGCATACCACTCCTGATATTTTTCTCGAGCTACAGATTCTTAAAAAAATTGTGGTTTGAATCCCGCAATTAATTTAATTAATTTAATAAGCTAGTGGCCCATTTAGAGACGTTACCACCAATAAGTTTTCTAGTAGTTGTTTGTGTCGTTCACTGTTGTCGCTCCACTGCGCCTCGAGAGACTCCAGTCATTTCAACAAATATTCTTGATTTTTCTACCGACTTCAAATAGGAGCCGGTACTCGATTCCACTGTCTGTTTTTTTACGTGTATTACCTCATAACTTTTTACTGGATGAACCGATTTCGATGATTCTTTTTTTTATTTGAAAGCTGGTGCTTCACATATAGTCCCATATGTAGATCAAGGTCTGACCAATAGTTTTTGAGTTATTCTTAATAATTTATATTGAAGTCGGTTGTACAAAATTTTAAATTATTCTGTCTTGACTCTCTCTTTCTTGTAGATAGAGCAAAGAGTTTTGATATTATTAAAACATTGTTGTTGAAGTTGCAGCATGATGTTGTAGTTGAAGTAGTTAGTTGATTGTAGTAAAAAGTTAGAAGAAGAGAATGCGAAGTTCGTAGCTCGGTGTTCTGGCACGTAGTTGACGGTAGTAAATGTAGAGTTTGGTGTTGGTTCGTCTTAGTTGTTGTGTAGTACGTGATAGGATTCAAGGTTAGTAGTTACAAGGTTATTGTGGCAAGTTTTTCCTTAAGTAGTTGGTGTTTAGTAGAACGGTTTTTGACGTACTGATTTGAAGTTAAATATAATAAAATTATTACTAATTAAACAAGCGCCCCGAAAGTAGGTCGCAAACGTGAGCGCAAAATAAAGATGAATGTACGATGGCTTGCCTGTACAAATATTTTAATTAACGTTACAGCCTATATGTGCAAGAGTACGTCCCGCTTTAGGGAATAGGCATTCTCTCAATACTAAGTGCTTGTTTTCAAAATTACAATTAAAAGTTTAATTGCTTTTTTTATAGAATTAGGGTGACAAACGAGCACAAAGTCCACCTGATGGTAAGTGTTTGCTATGGACCATAGACATCTACATCTATCTTCGTTTGGGAATTAAGATGCAGAAGCGTTGTCAGCCGCCGTGAGGACCAAGATAGAATACGAAAAAAAGGTCTCCGATTCTCTACACTCACCATACGAAATACAGCAGCATTAAGCTGCAATTTTACGCTGGTATTCTGTGAGAGCGTGGTCCTTCCCCGTTCGAGCCGACCCATTCGTGCTACAACTATACTATTAATATAGCTGCAGCATGTCTCTACCACGTAAAAAATTGGTGCCGTCGTGAATCGAACCTGGTTTGTTTGAGTACAGTTGTAGTTGTTGTTGCTGTTTACAGCGAGCACTTAGTCTTTGAGCTACCACGGCAAAGTAAAATAATATAAAAAAAAATATATTCATTGAAAAATTAAGTAAAACAATATTTTACAATTAAGTACAATAATATTTCAGTTAATTGTGTGCAGCAAGCGCTTAGACTACCTGTTACCCGCCCGCTTTGGGGTCTGACTGAAGCCACAGAGCTTACCAGCGACTGGATTTGTTTCTGTTAGATATAGCTAAGCATCAAAATGAGCACTTGATAAGTTTTGTGATTGGAAGTTATAGGCCCAGAGGTTACGTCTTTACATTTATCAATCAGTAAGTCGGCCATTTTCTTCTTTTATCATCATATTATATAAGAATAAATAAATAAATAAATAAATAAATATATATATATAAACACTTTGTCCGACCCACAATTAGCACGTATGCATCTACTGCAATGACATTACCAATAATTTAAAATTAAAAATTTTGTACCACCGACTTCAATATAAATTATTAAGAATAACTCAATAACTATTGGTCAGACCTTGATCAAATGTCCATGGGACCATACGTGAAGCACCAGTTTTCAAATAAAAAAGAATCATCAGTTCGCCCAGTAAAAAGTTATGAGGTAACACACATAAAAAAAACATACATTCGTATTGAGTCCGAGAGACCGACTCTTTTTGAAGTCGGTAGAAAAAAATAACAATATTAATGAATATTAAAATGTTATTTTGAATTTAATTTTTTGCGAGGGAATTTTTTATTTCTTCTCTAAATAGGATTACATAAAGAGAATCATCACAAAGTTATCCAAGTCAATCTAACTTAGTCTAACTTATCCTCAT